CTAATGCTTCCATTAGGTGGAAGTACCAGATTTTCTAGCAAGTAACAGTAATATTTTGAATCATCCTATTTAGGGAGTGGTTCTTAACTTTCTTCCTTACCAGGCTGACAAGGTGATTAGGCAGATAAGGGCTAGAAACAATCTGAATTCCTGTTCTGGAAAAAGAGTCTCAAATTTTGTGATGTAGGGTAGATCAGGCACAACATTTTAAATTGAGATTCTGTAGTTTGGAGCATCCTTCATGAATATTTGAGCTGTTAATCTTTTAACAGGCCTCAAGTCCTGGGAGGTGTAACTTCAGCTGACCAGACTTGTCCACCTGATCATTTAACATTTCTACTCTCATTTGCTTCCTCCAACATTATTATGCAAGCTGATGGCTTAGGAAGCCTGTAAGTCCTTTTAGATTTGTCATCATTTTGATATGCAGGAGCTGCTAAGCCTCTGTTCTTGTAGCAGTCATTTGCCTGCGGTGCTGTACTGTCTGTTTCAATCCATAGTTGCTCTTTGGTACTGCTGTCATGCTGTTTATATCTGGCAACTAGTTAAAATAATCTGTGGCTTTTTTGTTCGTTTGCTTCTGGAGTTTTTATATTTTGTTTAGCATCTGAAAGCCTGCTTTAGTTATTTTCACTGTCTTGTGAATAGACTGGTGTTGCTGGTTGTGATGATATATTTGTGGTGGTGACAATTCATTGAAAACAAGGTAACTTTTACAAAGAGTACTAATGTCTTAATAAAGACTGGAAATTTTGTAGAAAAAGTGGTGACTGTAAAATTGTGTTAATTTCTTTTTTCCCCACCCCATGAGTTTATTCTTTGGTAACATTTAATACAACTTAATGGAAGTTCTAGAGCTGAAAAACTGGAAAAAAGGTTGTGTGCTACTCTATGGGGACAGTATGTAAGCTAATAAATAGAATGTGGAGTAGATACCTGGAGTATCTGTCTAGCTCTGGGCTTTTTCATACTGAGAAGAGAGAGACTTGCTGGAGCAAGTCCAGCAGAAGGTTGCAAAAGTGATTTAGGGGTTAGGCGAGGCTGAGAGCTGAAGCTTAATCTGACTCAGTTCAGCCTGCAGGTTCTGTGCAGTTTCATAGCTTCATGATTCTTCCCAGCTTGTAATCTACTTCTTAGTTTTTTCACTGTAGTTTGTCACAGCACCTCATTACTCTGCTTAATAAGGAGCTGACTGAAAGTTGTGTAATCCTATATATATGTATCTCTACATATATATATATTTAAATTTGGCATTGTAAAATGCTTTTAATTAAAAGTATAATATATGTGCTCACTAGATGGCAGCAGATTCCTTAACTAACTGTGAGAATGAAACATTCTCTACTATCAGTAGGTATTTTGTGACTTTAGAGTGCAAATGAGCTTTTAATACTGTATTTATGTTAAAATTAAAATATTAGTAATATGTAGAACTTAATGCAATATACAGCTAACATTAGAGCTTCTCTGAAAAGAATTTATGAACATGCCTTCTCAGAACTGTTTCAAGACTGGATATGGAAGATTATGTTGCTCATGAATATCATCATATTTCTTGTTTTGGTTGGACAGCTCCAGTTTTAAGCTGTCTTGTCTTCTTATAAGAGATAATGCAAAATGCAGAAGGAGAAGAAAAGACACATGTTTTATGAGTTACTGCAAGTGAAGTGCTACATTGAAATAGCTGGTATTATTTCTCTGCAAATATGTAACTGAAAGCTCAGGACTTGTTTGAAAATATTTTTGTCTGAGAAATCACTATTTTTAGGAGGAGTAAACATACATAAATTTTGATGTATAGATGTTTCAAGCAAAGTTGTAAAAACTTAAAAATTCCATTTTAATTTTTGAGTCTGATCAGAGTTTGCTCCTGCATTTCTGTAGCACATGTTCTTTGCATGTGTTGATTGTGAAGAAAAGTAACCTTGGCCTGAGGTTATTCTTTCTGAGCAGCACTTCTGCATTTTACTGAATGAGCTTTTCAGACGATGAGTTACCTCAATCAGGGTGTTTGCACTGGAGCCTGTGAGTTTGTCTGTTAGACTGTATTTTAAAGAGAAACTGAATACTAGAAGAGTAGTTCATGAAAAGAATCGGAGCAATGGAAAAGAATTAATCTGTTCAGAAAGAGGCTTTGGAATATCAGCCTGGAGATACTTTTCACAAGGATTTGGTCCTGAAAACTGTTGTTTTTGTATGTACTTCAGAGGAGGAAGCTGAGGAGATGAACTCATCTGTTAGAGGAAAATTAAATAAAGGAGTAGCTAATGTAACTATCTAGTGAAGCCCTTTTTTTCCAAAGGACAGCATCAAAAGGAAGTAGCCAAGGAATACATGGCCACTCCCATTCTTGTTGCAGTTTTATAGGGTTGCCAAACCAATATAATAATATGAGAAAACAGAGACAACTGTAGAGTACTTATTGGGAGCTTTTTTACTCTCATGTTTGGCTGTTGGACCCGTATTCCAGCTTGTTTAGGAGAGCCAGTCTGTAGGGTATGAGCTAGCAAATTTAGAGCTTGAAATCTTAACTCATGACCGATTTTCAAGGCTTTCTTGCACTGCTTTTTGTAAGACTAAGTTTAGTATTTTAAAGTTTTGCTTTAACCACTTAGGGTGGGGCTTAATTGCATCAGTGCTAATATCACAGTTCCAAAGTGGTTTTTATGTACTGAAGAATTAAAGATAATAAATGCCACATTTTGTTTCTTGTTGAATGAGATAATCCAACTAGCCATGCTTGTAGCTGAATACATTTTCCATCTGTGGAAACCTGTGGACTTATTTGTTCCATTTTCATTAGTACTTCCAGCTTGTATCACACTTTTATAGAAGCCTTTTGAAAGATGGAATGTGCCGCCTAGGACTTCTGTATATTTTCAATGACACAAAGTATAGAGAAACTTCTTTTCTTCAGTAGCAGATTTCTTGGCAAAATGAAGATATTTGCATACTGCATCTTAATTACACAAATGCTTTCTATTCAGTGATTTGTTCTACTTAATCTTTTCTCACTCTGAAATAGTAGTCTTGATCTTCTGTTTGTGATGTGTTTGTCAAAGCAGGCAGTGATATAGAACTTTTTTGTTAGAGTGGGAATGGTTCATAACTCACAAGAGGCAGATCCCTGAGTGAGTCATTTAGGTCATTCCCACTTATGTGGAAAAATATTACATCATTGCTCTGTACTCAGTGTTCTATTTATACCATGCCAGAATTTTAAGTACATTTTGCTTTTTTTAGATGCTGTAAACAGTATTGGGGGTTTGTCTAAAAGTAAAGTGGCTGCTAGGCCATAGAAGGAGCATTACTGAATCAAATATTTACAGAGTCCGGGAGTCAGAGGAGCACACTGTCTGCAAATTTAAGCTTGCCAGGGTGTGGGGGTTGACCTTTGTAGCAGAAAGAGTAAAAGGCAGCACAGATCAATTCTGTCCATAACCCTGTAGCTTTTCATGGCTGTTTTTTCTTCTCCCCCTTGGTTTTTATTAGAGCAGTGAATAAAGGTAGAGCCATAGTTATGAACAGGTCTGACAGATATTGATGAGAGAACACCTTTAACCTAAAGTTATTCTTTTTTATTGTAGCAGTTTCTTTTGGTTCATTCACAACTTTCAATTTCAAGCATTTTCCTTGTATAATTTTATGTTAAAAATAGAGTTAATCTGTCAGAATAGATTCCCCTTGTATCCCCCAGGGCATTCTGCAGTTGCATCACTCTGTTCACACCTGCATTTTTCTCCAGCTTCGGATCTTGTATTGCTATTGTTTGCAGAGTGCTTTTTTCACCAGGTTAGACCAGCCTCTGGGATTTCATTCTAAGACTTCCATACCGATAATTATGCAGTCAATGCTACTTTTTTTTGCAGACATTTCTCTTACAACAAACTTAAACATTGATAAAGATGATGAATTTTTCCTTAGGTTTAGCTAAGAAGGGTACCAATTATTCTGAAGTTTCTTCTGGCATCCCACACAGAGCTGTATTCTGCTTTACTACAGAACACTAAGAAAAGTGATCCTTTTGTGTTCTTTTGTACATGTGTTCTTAAAAGTTCTGTAGTATTGCTCTGGAGGCAACACCTTTGAGATGCAGCTTTTATCAGATCTGTGAATACAATGGGCTGCACTGGCTTTGGGGCTGGTGTTTGTGTTTTCTTTTGTGTTTCTTTTTTCCCTCCCCCCCTAAGTTTCTATTCTTGTGTTTACTGTAGGGCTTTTACCTGCATCAAATGTTGGTGAGAATTATTTCTCAAACTGGTAAATTGCTGTAGGAAAGGTTTAGGTGAATGTGAGATTGAAAGGACTGCAAGGAAAGTTGTTTCATTCAGAAAATGTGGTGCTTTTCTTGTTTATTCTGAATCTATACTGAAAATCTTCCAGTTATAAAAGGGCTGGTTGTGTAAGAAGTAGTTAAATATATATATTTTATGCTGATACTGTCAAGCAACCTGAAATTAGGCAGGGTCAGAACTGTCTTCAAGACCTAAAACTAAACTGCAAAATGTCATTATGGTGGGTCATTATGCAAGAGAAGTCATTTATTATAGCTAAATGGGATTGTGCATGATAGATAATTCATATGTGCATTATGTACACGTGATAGAACTTGTTAAGTTACAACAACTGACTCATTAAAAACAATCCGCTGGCAGTCCTGACTTCAGCTTGAAATTGAGATCTTGATCCCTTTTGTGTATTGGAAATGCCATGACGTTCTTCATGGGTAGCTGTAATCCAGGTGACAGCTCCTGTGTTCTGGATGCATTTCTTTAGCTATTTATGTTTTCTGTGCAACTCTAGTTGCATTTTGTTTTTCCATTGCTTTAACTAGTAGATCCTGAACATTCTGGTTCATTGTCCTGCCAGTTTCTGTTGTGTTTGGGAATGCCAGCAGACAGCCTCCTTACAGTGCAGAGCTCAGATGCCTGGCTTGATGTTTCATGCAATATTTTAAAACATTGTGTTAATGCAGATTTTGTGTTGCTTTGTGTTCTCAGGTGACCGGGTCATAGACGTGGGGTCAGAGTGGAGAACGTTCAGCAATGACAAAGCAACCAAAGACCCATCTCGAGTTGGGGATACCCAGAATCCTTTGCTGAGTGATGGTGACTTGAGTACAATGATTGGCAAGGTAACACTGCAAATACTGAATTTTACTGAGTGTTTTTATGTCAAGTACCAGATTATACATCCAGAGAGAAACTATACGACCTATGTATTTTTAAAGAGATTTTTGCCTGAACTTGTGTGTTTCAACACTGTATACAATGTGGCCCTTTCCTGGGGATAGAAGGAAAGGGCCAACATTGCAAAAAAACCAAAAAGCTTGCAGCGCTGTGGGGTTACTTGCTACCCTTTGATATGTTACTATAAATAGGAAAGCTGATGTTGCAATTTTAAAAGAAGTTTACTTTGACTTAGCAAGTGTATTTGAGGTGGTTCCGAAATTAATGTTGATATCTCAATAGCTAGTGCTGCCATTTTGTTTTTTTGAAATCTGTATTGGATTCATATTGGAGACCTGGAGATCTCATGTACATGTTCTTCCAATTAATGTTAAAGCACTAAATGAAGAATTCTTTCATGGTGTGAATGCCCCAAAGGAAAGTATTCAGTCTATACTTGGATTGAAATTTTGTGACACAATCATATCCTGCTGTTTCTCCTGAAAGCAAGCAGGACTAGTCACATTAAATGTTAGTATGTTAAATGAAAGCATTAAATGCTTTCCCTTGAATGAAGTAATGACCCAGGCAAGTTTTAATTGTACTTTCTTCTTTATTTTTTACTGCAAGATCCAGATTAATTTTTGTGCATTTCCTGAATGTTTCATGAACATTCAAGTTGCTGATTAAAAATATCTTGCTGCTTTGTGTTTTCTCAGATGTTTTTGTCCCAGTGATGTTGCTAGGTTGAAGTGCCTAAATGTGTATGTATAGGGGGAGTATGCAGAATGCTTTTCATCCAAGAATTCTTCCAGGCGATGAAGCTGACATGTGAATACTGATGGGCAGCTAATTTTCACCATTAGTGAGAAAGAAACCTTCTCTTTGAAGAACTGTCCAGTTAGATGGTTGTGTTTTGGACAACTCCAAGCATTTCTGCCTATCACATTTTGGGATTTTAGGTGGCTTTTGGAGTACATTCAGGCAAACAAATTTCTGCACTGCTCCATTGAAACACTGGCATTGCTAAGTGGCTCTGTGAAGCAGTGTTGTAGAAGTCACTGGAATTCTAATGCCACCTATATAGGATCAGAAAGATTGTAGTTCAGAGGGCTTGGGCTTCTGTTGCTGATTTGGTCAGCTGTGATAAAGATGTATACCTTTATGGACAGATGGAGAAATGGACTGTTTGCTCCAGGTTCACATTGTTTCTCACTCTGGGCTGTGTAAATACAAGGTTTGTTTCTGGGAGCTCAGTTTGATTCAATCAGTAAAACAACCTGAGCTCCTTTAGAACTTGAGTTTTGGAAAAGACAGAGGACATTTCAGCTAAAGTTAGATTTTGTGTCCAGGTGATCAGTGACTTGTGCTGTTAACCCCCTTCTCTTTGGAGGTTTGGATCCTATTCTAATTTATAATAAAGAGTGATAGCAGCCTTAGTGAGAGAATTAAAGACACAGAAACTTCTATGCAAAGTTTGTTTGCCCATGAAAACTAAAAACTTTCAGAGATGGACATTCAACTGATGAATGTTTTGCTGTGAACCAGAACATCCCAGAATAGGCATGACTGAACTTGCTGTGGCAACGAGTGCTGTTCCACAAAGACAAGATATGGGACTGTTTGTGTGACATGATTTAATCTATGAGAACTGAGTAAAAAGTACTGGAACTGCCAGGATTGTGTTGGGGAATGTAGAGGGTGCAGTCAGTCCAACTGTGAGTACTTTATTTGCACAGGGAGGAATTGCAGAAGAGGTGCATTATTTTCTATGGGAAATTGGGAGTCCCTTTGACAAACCAGGATGTTTTCTGCACAAGAGTTCCTGTGTTTGTCTTGCTAGTAAGCAGGAGCTCTGGGATGCCATTCATTGATGTGAGCTGTGTATCAGGGGCTGCTTTTTTTTCAGTTGTTTGGAAGGAAGTGAATGGCTTTTATCAGAAGATGCTGAAGAAGTCTCCTGTCGGTGCAGAAAGGGCATGAATTTTGCAGCAAAAATAACTAACTCAAGGAAGGAGTACATTTTTCAAGCAGTCATCTGAAGTCCCTGCTGGCAGAAGGCTGGGATGTGGATTGACCTAGATATACACAGTGGTTGAGCAAAGGTGAAATTGGTGTAGTCTTGAAGAATGTAAGTAGTATCTGACAGAGTAGAGAACAACCTTTGTGAATTCCAGAGAATTAAGCAAGGTAAGATTATTATTTTCCCAGTTAACAGCTATTTCTTTCTGCTTGAGGTAGGACTGCAGATAATAAAGTCTTTACAGCTGACCTGCTCCGCCCTCCCAAAAACACCTCCACCAGAAAAACCCCTAAAACACAACCTGTGTTTTGGGAAATCCAGAAGAGAAGGACATTGATAATTCCCATGGCACATCATGTTAATCTGTTGTAAACTCCTGGGAACGTGGGTGGAAATGGAGTCTCAAACAGTTACAACAGTATTGCTTTGTAACAGTAGAGGAAGAGGGTCAGTTCTGCTTCACAGAGTGGTTTGTCTCTCTTTCCTCCGGGGAGGCAGGAGGTGCTGCTCTGGGGCCCCTTCCTGCGGGGGTGTGTGGTCTGTGTGTGTTAGCAGCAGAGGCTGCTCTGCTCGTGCAAAGGGATTAATTCCTAATTGCTTTTAATCCTTAAGGATCCCATCTGTCTGAGGCAGCAGCAGCAGCCTGCATTGGAAAAAAGATTAATTTGCCTGTGAAGAGGAGGGTGAATAGCATAGTTGGCAGTGGTGTAAGTGGTTTGAATTCCACAGGCAGATCTTCAGGATACTGGAACAGAACTGTAACTCTGAAATTAGGTACCGTGTGCTGCAGTTGATCTGATTACAGTACAGATCAGTTGGAGGCATGGTGAAGTGTCATGTTAATTGTGACTTGATAGCCAGACTGTTATAGTTATTTCTAAAATTCCAACTTAAAATAAAGGAAAAATAACTGAACAAGCAGCTTTTTGGTTTTGCTTTGATACGGGGAACTCTTTTATATGAGTTTAAAAGCAAACTGTAAGATCTGTTTCCTGTCTTGTGGAAAATGTCTTGCCACCTTTGCTAGTTAATTGATTCCTTTTTTTGTAGTAACTATAACTCCAAGAGAATTTATACTGGTTGAACAAAGATCTAATGCAATCTCTTGGCATAGAACTCCTATCCTTTGATCAGATGGCTTTGAAAGGAAGCTGGCTGTTGTTAAACTTCATGGCCTGAATCTGGAAGTGCTATACGGATAAGCAATGAGAAGCTGTCAGAGGCTGATGATTGAAAAAAAGGAGAAAAGATCCATCAGACTGATCCATATGAGCTGCTTGTTCTGGGCAAGAAGACTGCTGGATCTGGGGGCATGCCTTGATGCTGTGGTTAACCACAGATTAGTGATGTGGATGATACTGGTCATACTTATAATTTCTGCTACTGTGGGGAGATTCTGGGGTTCGAAGCTGTTGAATGCCAGCACTGTAAACCTGACTTCCACTGAGCCCCTACAGAGACTGTCACTGTTTACTTGACTGCATTTTTTTTGCTTTAGCTACCTTGAAGGCTGTTTCCAGGAGCTATCCATGAGGTTTCTGTTCTGTTTGAAAGCCAGACAGGTAGAACTCCTGACTCAAAGGCCACAACAGTAAACCACATAATTCATAAAGTCAATTTCATTTAAGTTAAAACTGTGTGGCTTCTGTCTTTTTCCATTAAGGGAAAGGGACTCCTAATATGGTTGTCAAGGGCTGAAATCAACAAAGCATTGTCCCTTGAAGCTCCAGAAGGAAAGTGGATGGTGCATTTAAATAATAAATACAGGGAGAATTTCTGTGGTTTATGTAAGCAGTTGAGGTGGAAGAGTGTTTTCCACCACTTTTATAGTTGTGAGTTGTATATTGGGCATGGCTCTTGAAGAGGGCTCACATTAGCAGGATAAAATCCTTGTCTAGTTTTACTCCACAGCACCTTACAGATGTGGGGATTTTTTATTTATTTTTTTGGTTCTCCTTAACCAGTGGACCAGGGAAAATCCATGTGGTGAAGGGGAATTCTTGCTGGCTCCCAGACAGAGCAATATTTCCTGGTAGAGTAGTCTCTGATATGAAGCCTGACTAGAAAAAGACCTGGGGACTTCCTGTTGTTTGTGCTTACACTTCTGGTGTCTTTTTAAGAGTTTGAGCTCATGCAGTTCCTGTAAGAATTTGTGCATAGCACTGGTCTAGGAGGCCATGATAAACACATAAAAAAGTATAAATTAATGCACTGCGGGGAGCAGAGGTACAACTGATGGCCAGCAAGGAGCCTTTTGACCTGAGACTCTTGTATACTTTGGGCCAAGGGAAGTTATGGCATAATTTTTGAATGGAATCCTAGTATTGCTCTTTGTGGCCTGAAGTTTGTTGTGCTTTATTCTTGATCTTTGTTTACCTTTTCATCTTACTGGGAACTTTTGAATAGTTGGAGGTGTTGATCTGTCCAAGGAGGTAGGATTCTCTTTGGAGCAGCCCTCTGCTGTGTTGGTGCCAGGATCATGTCAGGGTGCTTATTTTGTATTAAAGGATGTTTGAAGTAGGAAAAAACCAGGAATGGTTCTGGAATCTGTTATAGAGACCTGTTGAAGGAGGAAAGGAGACTTCTGAGGAGGGTTCTGTGCTGAAGTCCTCAATTGCCACTGTGAATCAAGTGTGGTGTGTGTGAGCATGACAGATGGTGTCTCAGCAGGGAGCGATCCACTCACTGGAGCTGCTGGAAGCGGGGTGTTGCTGAGGCCTTGGGCATGGGAACGGTGTAAATGAATGGCCAAGAGGGCGAGTGTTACTACTGTGAGTCAGAGAATGTGTATTAAATGCAGAAATGCACCTCAGAGAGATTATAGAGCCTGTGTTAAAATAGAAGGGCAGTTCCCAAGAACATAGGTCAGGAACAAAGAAACTGTGCAGCTCAGAAGAAAAAGGTGATTTCAGGGCATGTCCTATCCTTTGTTCACTGTGTTTTTACCCCATTTTGTACAACCTGGATATCTCAATCCATTGCTGGATATTCAACTTGAGAACTCTGTGTGCAAGTGTTTGGCCAGGTTATCAGCCAGTCACAGATCAAGACCTGCTTTATTTTTACTGGTTTTGGCAAAATGACAGTGTGGTAGTTGCTGTCTGCAGTGGCTTGTTTAAATGACTAAATCTGTCTATAGTCAAAGTTGGATGCCCCATCCCACGTAAATTGTTTGAAGGTACCAGCAAGGAATAAATGCTTACAGATTCAGGAAACCCAGATTCCTACACATGTGAATTGTGAAGAAGTGGCTTCCACTTGAAAGAAATTGGAGCCCCTTGTGTACTGTGACACTGAACACATATATAGACAACATAAATTACAGACATTGCTCTTCTGAATTTACAGGACACATTGTTGTCATTGGCTGTCACTAATCTGACACGGTATTATTTGGTTAAGACTTGTTTTGGATTGCTGACAAATTGGAAACCTTAAACATTTTAGACCCTGTTGCTTGGGCAAATCTTCATATTTAATAGAAATATGCAATTTGCACTATTTGTAAGGTACGAACAAAATTGTACCTTGGAAGCTTGTCTTGAAGTTGCCAGGTTGAGTTTGAGGCTCTTAATTCTCCAAAGAACTCAAGTTTTTCTTTTAAGAGGCCTATGATTTTCCCATAAAGTTGAAGTACATGGGTATTTCCATTTTCTGATTAAGTCTGGCAGCTTCTAACAGGCATGGTATCGAGTTGGGTTTGACTGGCTCATTGGTTTGTGTGTTCTCTTTGCCCATGCCTTTATTATGATGGTTATCATTGTAACAACTGGTCTCCAGCTGACCATAAAGTTGTTTTTCTGACTCGCCTGTCTCTCACAGATGTAGCCCAAAGGATACACAAGAGTTGCATAGAATATCATCCTGGACTTCAGCACTGGTGACAGGACTATTGAGATCTATACATTGGCTATATATTATCTTTCTCTTTTTGACTCTGTAGCTATTGTTACATGAGGGAAGAAAAAGCCCTGTGTAATCTGTGGTCTCTGGGAAGGAATTCAGAATTTGAGACTGATGCAAAGTGTAGAACCTGTTGTGTGGAACAATGCTTGATTGAATGAGTTACTTTCAGTGATGTTTATTTGCACAACTGTTGGAACTGATGCCTTGAATTAAAATGTATAAAGCTGAAAGATGTTTGCTCTTGAAGTGAGCAGGAAGTTGCTTGTATTATGGACAACACAAATTTTTCTTTCCAGGGCACAGGTGCAGCAAGTTTTGATGAATTTGGGAATTCAAAGTACCAAAATCGCAGAACTATGAGCAGCTCTGATCGTGCGATGATGAATGCTTTTAAAGAAATTACGAACATGGCAGACAGAATCAACCTCCCTAGAAATATAGTTGTAAGTTCATGTCTCCCTTCCTTAAATTGTTCTGGCATTGACTTAGTTAGCATAATATAATGAGCACATGAATTTTTGATATTGCTGCTAATTAAATGGCCTAGAGTTAATTAAATTTCATCTTCTTGCGTTGAAGGATCGAACAAATAATTTATTCAAGCAAGTGTATGAGCAAAAGAGCCTGAAGGGGAGAAGTAATGATGCTATTGCTTCTGCTTGTCTCTACATAGCCTGTAGGCAAGAGGGTGTTCCAAGAACATTTAAAGGTAAGTTTTCAGTGATACAGATTCAATTTTGCTATGAAGGAAAGGTTAGTTACTGTCACTGTAGGAGGTTGGTTTTCTTACTCCCGGACTTTATCAAATCGATTGTTCTCAGCTGTAGCTCACCTTTGAAGGGAGGGTAGAAGGGTCTGTGGGAATTTGTTGTATTTGTGGAGTAGGCTTTTGGGCATGGGGGTTTTAGCATTTTAAAGTTGTTTTGAATGTTGGTGAAACTTAAAAGGCATTGCTTTGATCAGAGGATGATGGAGACTGTTGTAATTGAGTTTAACTGAATTTGAACCAGCAGTTCTGTAGTAAATTTGTGCAACTTTTTCCTAAGAGAGATGCAGCTCTCTAGCATTGAGTACCAAATTCCCCTTACAAAGTGAGCTGTATTAATTAGTGCCTTATGATAAACGTGCACTGACTGAAGTTTCACATGTGATCAGAGCTTATTTAGTGATGGTGGCCTTCAGGACATTGGTCTTCTTTGCTGGTCTTAATATCCTGAGAATCCAGTTTGATTATTTTGTGGGGAGCAAATGCTGTGAAGCCTAAGATTTAATTTATACTCTTTTTTTCAGAAATATGTGCAGTGTCCAGGATTTCAAAGAAAGAAATAGGCCGGTGTTTTAAACTGATTTTGAAAGCTCTGGAAACCAGTGTTGATTTGATTACAACTGGAGACTTCATGTCACGATTCTGTTCTAACTTGGGTCTTCCCAAACAAGTACAAATGGCAGCAACACATATTGCTCGTAAGGCTGTGGAATTAGATTTGGTTCCTGGGAGAAGCCCTATCTCTGTAGCAGCTGCAGCTATTTACATGGCATCACAGGCTTCTTCAGAGAAAAGGACACAAAAAGGTAAAACTTGACTTTTTTTGGTTTGTTTTTAGTTTGCCATTTCTTTAGTTTTGAAAGAAAATTCAGTGTTACTGTAAAACATGGATGAGGTATGCAGTGATAAGCTCCATTCTAGCTGCATAAAGCAAGGACCAAATCAGGATGGATCTTCCAGTCCCCAGAATGAACACTGAGTAATTTGCTACACTCAGTGTAAACGGAATTCATTTTCTTCTGGTATTAGGAGTCGGATTCTTGAATGCAATGGACCAGCACATTCAAATGAGCATAATAATTAAAGTTCACCTATGCTAATATTTTCTCCAAACACAAACTTGAGGCTAGTTGCAGGGAGCACTTGGGCTTTGGATTACATTGAACCTTGAATAATTTCTGCAGCCAGGGAATCCACCTGCATTAGTACATAGTCCTTGACTTACTGTGAGCCTGTGGTAAAGATGGAAAGTATGGGATGGCAAGGTTTGTTGTGGATCAGCTGGGGCAGGTTCTCTGCTGGTAGGGTAGCCCATGGGGAGGCAGTAAGGAGATCAGGGCTCTTGGGCCACAGAGCAGCGTAGATCAGTCTCTGGGGCTCAAGGGAGTGAGGCCTGCAGGGCAACAGTGCCTGCAGAAAGAAGTTTGCTAATTCTGCAGGGGGTAGAACCTGATGTGAGAAATGGATCCAAGTGCTCCACCGAGTTGTCCAGTCCGGATCAGAAGTGTTGAAAATGTAGCAATTTTTTAATGGAGTGTTCCTTTTGGATAAAGAATAGCTTTTATCTATTAAACTATATATAGTCAGGTTGTGGTGTTTTGTTCTGCATATGTAACTGTTTATGTCCTGCATATATAACTGCTTATGATGGATCTTCCATCCTGTTGGCACTTTCCTGGGCCTGTAAGTGATCTGAAGCCCAGGAAGGTCAGTACTTTCATCCTTGCTGGTTGTGAGCCACTGGATTGCATCTCTTAAGAGTGATTGTAAAAATACAGCTGCGTGCCATGGGCACTATGGCTCCACACTGCTCTGGTGTTTTTGGACAATGCTGGAGGCTCTCATACAATTCAAGGTTTAAACTCCTAACTTGACTAACTCTTGAATAAATTTAAATTTCTGTGCATCTCAACCTCAGCTTGTTAGACAGTGCTCTGTGCCTCTGCCTTATTTCTTGATGCATTTTAAGGTAAATGTATTTCATGTCTAACTGAAGGTGTTTGTTTTTGTCTGTGACTCAGTTTTTTGCTTGTTTTTTCTTATATTTAATCGAAGCATAAAAATGAAGATCCAGAAGTGGATGATGATTTGTTAAAATACTGCTGGTCATTGCAGTAGATGACGTCCAGTAGATGTTTCCAATCACTTTTACACTCTTAGCCCTCTGCCAATTTGAAATTTGAATATTCCACAATTTATAGGTTGAGTTGAACTGTGAAATGTAAGAAGACAGACTTAGGTATCCAAAATACTAGTCACCACAGTTAAAACTATTTCTACTAGGCTTTTGGGAGAGTTGCAAGTGAAGCAAGTGTCCAGACTCTTGATACATTATGCTTGCTGGTTTCTTGAACACAAATGGCAAAAGTAAAAACTAATCACTTCTCTGCTTTTTTGTTGTAGAAATTGGTGATATTGCTGGTGTGGCTGATGTTACGATTAGACAGTCATACAGGCTGATCTATCCTCGAGCTCCAGATCTTTTCCCAGCAGACTTCAAGTTTGATACCCCAGTAGACAAACTACCACAGCTGTGAGATTGCAGAGGGTTAATTTCTGTTAACCGCCTCCCCCCCGAAAAAACCCCAACAAAAACAAACTCTTTATTTTTGCCTATAATAAAGGATGTACAAAGTGTTAATATTGGGTCTTCGTGTTGTGGAACTGGAGGATATGGAGATGGAGCGTAACTGCTGGAAAGCAGCACACATTCCAAGGGTAAACAAGCTCATTGTGTGGCATTTTGTATGTATATATTAGTGGAAGTAAGTATTTAATAACTGTTGCAACAAATTTAATTTGATATTGTTGTACTTACTTAGATTTCTTTTGTAGGGATCTGGTAAGATGTATTTTGGAGAATTTAAAATATTGTGTAATTCCCAAATAAACTGTTTTCCAAAAACACATCTTGTGGGTATGACTGCAATGTGAGATGCATGTACTGTTGTACGTGCTGAGAACTGGAATGCAGTCTGTGAAATGGTGGAGTGAGCTTCACCCTTGTGGGTTTGGTCACAAGGCTGCTGAAATGCTCACTTTCTGGACAATTTCTGGTCTCTAGAGTGCTCTAGTAGTTGTTGGGAGCTGTAGTGTGGGAGCTTGTGCCCAGAATGTAAGCAGTTGCTGAAAAGCCATTCCAGGTTTTGCATAACTGCTGCAGAATATTTCCAAACTGGTTGTAAAAGGATTAATTCTATCCTTGGCACTGTCTCCCTGATTCTTATTGATGTCTTTGCTTGCTTTCTGTGAGTGTGACATAATGGCAAAGCACCTACTGAGAAGCATGAGGACTCACTTTAGTTGAATTCCTGTTAACTTCATGATGCTTAGTACTGTACAAGAAAAGTGAAAAATATTTCTAGTATAAGTTTCTGTTAAATTTCTGACCTGCCAGCCCACCCTGCAGTCTGGCTGGCCTGTGGTAATGTTCTAAGTGAGCACTTGCTGTTTGAACTGATACGCCAGGTGCTGAGTGAAGGCCTGAAGTTGTTTAGCCCTGCCCAGACTAAGGGCTTTGAACACTGGCTGCCTTCTGCCAGTGTCACTTTGTGTACAAAGCAACAAATGTGCTTAACTGGGAGTCTTGTAGTTCCTGAGATTTGGTATCACAGGTGCAAATTCATTTAACCCCACAAATGAACAGCTGAGGGGTACATCTGGTCCTAGGCCACCCCGAGGGAAGGCTGTGTCCAGTGCTAATGGCACAAATTACCAATACCCCTCACCAATTGCTAGTTGAGCTTTAATCCTCTTCTGCCAGTGGATACTGGAAATGTGGAATCTGAACATTTTTTTCTGTAAACAAATAACAAAGGTTGTACAGTCCTGTTCCAGTGCAGGAGCTGTTGGTTGCAGCCATGAAAGATTCTGGGGCAGATTTTCGAAGGGGGTACACTCAGTAGTTGGGAGGGCATGTTGTCATTGTCAGATGTACAACTGATACTCAAAGACAGAACATCAGACATTGTTGCTACATTTTCTATTATCTGGGTCTTCCTGGTCTTGGTCTGAGCTACTCTGCCTGCATCCTCTGGGCAAAGGTGTGATGCTTTGAATGGGCCAGGCCTCACCTTTAAAGCAGTGCTACAGCTTGGGAATGCATAGGTGGAAACTGCTTTTACCGAGAATGCTGCTTTCCAGCTTGGATCAGTGAGTTAAATCTACTCCATGAAGGTTAAAAGTGACTGAAATACACATTGTCCATAATGCTCATACTTAAATCCTTTCAGGCCTTGGGTATGAGCACTTGACATGTGACAGGTGTGCGTTTGCAGTTGAAATTGTTGCATACAGCAGACTGCCTGGACAGGAATTTACATACATCTGTGCAAAGCTCCAAAGTGAAGCAGAGGGAGGTGGGGACATGCAATCCAGCCTTGACCCTGCAGTTCCACAAGCATTTCCTGTATCTCCCGAGGTTTGGAGATGGCAGTAACTGAAGCACAAAGAGGCAGAACTGGGAATTTGCTTGAAGGGGCAGGTTTAGTCTGAAGGCCACTTCCTACTGGCTGCAATATGATAGTTAATGTGAAGTATAGCAGAAAAAATATGGCTTAGCTCTGAAGTAGTTTTTAGGCAGCACTGACCCATCTGGTAGCTCCTGCGCTGCCTGTGTGGGGCAGGGCCCAGGGGAGGCACTGGCTGCCCCAGGCTGTGGGTGGGCTTTGGGTACTCTGCTCAGCTGGGGAGGGGCCTGAGGCTCAGCAGGCAGGCTGGGAGAAGGCAGGGCCATGCAGGGTTGCCTTCCCCTGCAAGTGCAAGGGCAGAACATCTTCAAGCGTTAATTCAATGGCAGTTTAGACAGATCCTTGACACTCTGGAGCCAGCCCTTTCTGGAATGATTGTTTAGCCAGGTATGAAGTGTCTGTCACTGGGCAAACTGGCCATGTAAAGTTCCATGTGGCTCTTAAGAGTAAAGAATGCTGTTTTAAATGCACTCATAAGAAAGCTTCATCCTCCAGACTGTCTAAAGAACGAGCTCAGTGTGGGGTAGGTAGGTACAGACTGTGGTTTGCTGACAGAGCCTGTGAAGGAGAATGCCACGTCAAGCAGGCCAGACTCCAGCTGACAGGGTCTGCTCCTCTCAGGACTGCTCTGAGCCAGAGACTGCTCAGAGGCAGTTTGTAATGTTCTTTTATTAAAAAAAAATAAAAAATTTTGGAAGCCTACTGATCTCCCACCAAGAGACTGGGTCCCCTCCTGATAAGATCTTTTTTGAAGTTACCTGTGGAGAAAACATGACCAGCCACTTCAAGAAACAGCAAAATCATGTTTGCAACACAATTTACAAATTACTCTATTTAGAACTTTAATTTGTGATATTAATGACTGCAAAACACTTAGAATGACATTTGTTAAAGGCACATTTCATTTAATGCATAGTGTACCATTCTAAAATATCCTAATTTCCTTACAAAGTGCTTCAGCAGCCACATACAGATAAAGTATAGCAAAATATATTTACAATCTAGGGTTTAAATCTTAATCTGCCTAAAAATATTTAAAAAACTACAGAGATAAAATTAGTGCTTTTTTCAGCTTAACTGGGTGAACATACCCTGGCCTCTAATTTTTTTCTATTTTTTTTTTTTTATTTTTAGTGATTTGCTTAGATTAAAAAAAGATTTCTGTACAAGATGTAGTTACAAAAAGGTATGTTTGAGGATACTTTCATAAGTACTAAGCACCCTGTGAGATGCTTGTGTATATATATATATTTGGGAACCAAAAAGGGTGAGCTGACTGTACCTCAAAAGGATTGGTTTCAGCTAGATACAGGAACATAATTTGTTTCTAATCAGTATAGAACCTGGAAATAAGGAATGCTGAGGAGTTGATTCACTCTTCCCAACATGATTTGTAGCAGTGGGGAAGGTGCCTGCCCCATTCCTGGGGGGGACTGGCCTGATTTAGACCTAGTAACTGTTATTTTACTTTTTTCTCCCTCAAGTCTCTCCCCTGCCTAACGCTGCAGGTCTGTCCAGCATCATGATTTTAAACCACCACCTTAGCATTGCATACTCCAGTGGTTTGTGTTTCTTCTTTGAATTAATAAAATTACCAGGTTTTAATTCATTTGAGTGTGATGCTCACTGCCTTAGCCCACGAATAGCAAACTCCTGGCCAGGATGAACCTGTGAGGTTACAGTGCTGAACAGTGCTAGAGGTAAGGACCACGTGGGAAATTTATTTTCCAAGAGTAAATGTTTGCCCACAGAACAGCAGATGCCGAAAATAGGTCTTGGTTTACAAGTACACACAGTGTCTGGTCTAAATTACTTTTCAACTTTTGAGGTACAGCTTTTAGTGTTAAGGGGTTTATAAAATATACACTGTTTTTATCAAAAATATTTATACATTCTATTACAACATATTGCTTTTTACCCTCAGTAACTGCCAATCCAGGGGCTGGAGGTCAGTGGCCTACATGGATACATTTTTTTGTTCACTTGGCCACTATGCAACGTCGGTGAAGTGGTACAATTAAATTACTTGCCTGGAGGTAAGAATACATTACAACTTCCAAATATACATGTTCACAGCATGTATACATTGAAAATCCTTATGTTTTCCAAGTGATACGATACTGTACAGCAGACAGAGGAGGATGGAGGGGGTTAGATATAGACTGGGAACTTCTCTGCCCCCTCAGGGCGTGGGAAAGGCTCGAGGTGAGTACAGAAGGAGCTGGGTCTGGGCCTTGCGGCTGCTCTGCTCTGGGGTTACACTGAGCAGCGTCCTCCTTACATTCCTCATCCCAACCAGGGCCTTAAGCCGTGCTCAAGGAGCTTGAAGGCAAAACTGTTTGGCAAATGACTTTGGTAAACTCTCCGGATTTTTCTGGGTTTTTCTTTGTAATGGAAGCACTTACACAGTTGTTATCTCAAAGGCAAGGTGTTTAACGTTTTTCCTAATAAATACCATAGAAAATTTACAAAACAAGGCATATCTGTTCTCAATACCGTTATTTTAAGAACACAAGATGAAGGTGTACGTAAAAATGTGTAGTTTTAAAGACTGCACAGTATTTAGCTGAAATCATTTGCCTTCTCTGACTAGAACCAGGTTCTGTGTGAGTGTCACCAGTATCTCAACTTACTTCAGTGTGGCTGAGTGGAGATCACCTAGCTCAAAGTCTGCTTTTCCCACTTAAGGCAGATACTTTAAAAAGCAGTATTATCTGCTGTGGAAGAGTGAGAGAAACTGTACAGATCCACGTGCACCCATGTGCGGGAAAGTTCAACACAGCCTGGGTTCACCAACTCAGCTTAGGAACGCCATAGACCTGCTTTCCAGTGCTCAGATAAAAAACAATATACAAAGAGGCCACTCTTCACAAGAGTGTTAAAACAGTACTTTAAAAGGATCTTCATGTGATTTAAAAAAACCCAGAAGCTACAGGTGGCACAGAAAGCAATTGAAGGGTTGGTATTCTTCAGAGAGAGGCATTCTTGTGAGCCAGTCAGCTGGGGCTTCACAGTGTGTGGAAGTTAACACCAATCAGCAATGTAATCAAAATCTCTGAACATTTCCTGCTCTTCTTCTGAAAGTATCCTTGGTTCCCGAGGTGGAGTGAGGATAGGTGCTTCAGAGGTAAATTCATCATCAAAATTACTAACATCTTCTCGTCCTCTAATGGTGGGTACGAAAGGAGGCTTGACTTTCTTGGCCAGTAAAGCATGCCAATCTATTTGCTGTAAAATAAATGAACTGATGTTTAGTTTTCCATCTCTACTCCTTTGTATCCTTAGAAATAATACCAGTTTGTACTCACCCTGAAAAAGTGGTGCTTTTTCACATCCTCAGCATCTTTCTCTCCAGCTCCAAGACGCCGCTCTGGATTTCTTCGTAGCAGCTGACAAAACATGCAGAGTTCAGTGGAGAAATTCAGGGGGAGGGAAAGGAA